GAAAATAACCGACGCACCATCCCAATTAAATCAATCATAGCAGGCCCCATGTGAAAGGAATGGCACTGGACGTACGGACAACATTTTGATTAATACCTCCGGTCACTTTTTTTAACAGTTTTGGGAATTTTAACGATGACACTGCCAAGTTCACTGTCTCCGGTTTCATTCTCTTACTTTAAAACATCTGACAAGTGCTCACAAGCATTTTTAAACGTTCAAATAGACTGACCATTCAACTAAACCCTGTCACGCTAATAGCCATTTATTTGTCCTTCTAGCCCTTCAGGGGTTAGGAATTTCTCGAAAACCTCGACGACGTATTGTAGACCTCAAACCGAGCAATCGAAATGGCCCTATCGACTGATGGAATATTTCCAATGGTTTCTGAGATATTAGATGTTTTAACTTCAAGAGCCTCTAAAATGTTGGCATTTTTGCTTCTGTCTTCATATAGGATATGAATTTCAGTTGAAATCTACAGAGTAAAATATAGCTCTTTTTCAACCTAAATTTCCAATCTTTTCTCAGATATAGGGCGTTTAAAGTTCCAGAAGCTCAAAAATTTTGCTTCCATCCTCTCAGAGGTTTAGAGTATCAGTTGAAACCCTCATAGCGAAAGATAGTTCTCAAACCGTGCTATCGAAAATGTTCTAACGACCGATGGAAAGTTTCGAATAGCTTCTGAAATACAGGGCGATTAAATTTCAAGAACCTCAAAATGTTACTCTTTTTGCCTCTATCTCTTTAGGGGTTAGGAATTTCAATTGAAACCCTAACAGCGAAAGATAATTCTCAAACCGTGCTATTGAAAATGGACCAACGGCTGATGCAAAATTTGAAACAGTTTCTGAGTGGTACGGCGTTTTAGCTTCAGGTGTATCCAAAATCCTAGTAGTTATCCTGAGAGGTTAGGAATTTCAGTTAAAACCCAAATAGGAAAATCTACAGTTCGAACCGGTCTTATTATGGCTATCGAAAAGGTTCTGATGGCAAATGGGATATTTGGAATCGTTTCTGAAATATAAGGCTATTAAAAGTCCAGGACCTCCAAATGCTACCATTTATGTTTCCTGCTTAGAGGTTAGAAATGTCTGTTAAAACCTTAATAGTGCAATATAGTTCTCAAGTTGCGCTATCGAAAATATTTTAACAAATAATGAACAATTTCAAAATTATAGCCGTTTTAACTTTAAGGGTCACCAAATTGTTGCCATTTTGTTTCAATCTCTTCAGAGGTTAAAAAATAGAGTTCATACCCTTACATTAAGTAAAATATGGTCTGCAAACCGCGCTTTAAAAAATGTTCCAATGACTCATGCGAAATTCCAACTCGTTTCTGAAATATAAAGCGTTTTAATTTCAATGGACTCCAAAATGTTACAACTTTTGCTTGTGATCTCCTGTGAGGTTAGAAATTTCAGTTGAAACCCTAATAGGAAAATATACAGCTCGAAGCGCGCTATCAAAAGGGTTCATTTATCATCAGATAAATGGTATATTTTGAATAGTTTCTGAGATATAAGTCGTTTAAAGTTTTTGCTTCTAACTGCTTAAAGTTTGAAAATTTTAGTTGAAACCTTTTCACCGAAATATGGCTCTGAAACCGCGTTATCAAAAATGTGCCAACGACTTATGGGAAATTCCGAACTATTCGGAGGTATAATAGAGCGTATTAACTTCAAAGTCCTCTAAAATGTTGCCACTTTCGCTTCTATATCTGTTCGATGCTTCTCACCTTGTCACACCACAGTGTGTGAATGTTTCTGCTTTATTAAGTGTTACTCAGTGGGCAACAATGTAAATTGTACCTTGTGTCAAGAAAAGTGGACTGTCAGAGATATAAGTTAGCGGCTTGGCTCTCGCCGGCATCATTTTTTAACTACTACTTTCATAGTTTCCACAAAAGACACATCCACAAAAATCTAACGAATTAAAACCCGATCTCCAAACGAGCTTATTCCAGTGGTGCACTAACCACATTAGAGGCAGCTCAAAAATAGTGGAAACATCCACTCCACAATATTCTTAGAGGTTAGGAATTTTAGTTGAAACCCTAATAGTGAAAATTAGTTTTCAGACTGCGCTATCGAAAATGTGCTAATCACTGATCAGAAATTTCAAACCGTTCCTGAGAAATATGACGTTTAGCTTCAAAGGCCTAAACTGCTGCTATTTTTGCTTCTACGTTTTAAAGGTTAGAAATTTCGCATCAAATCCCTTCCCTATCGGAAATATGGAGAGCCTAAGAAAAATTCATCCAACGTTTCGGAGATATAAAACATCAAACTTTCGGCACCTGTAAAAGGGCGAAGCCCTACCGCAATTCTGAAAATTTTTGCCACAAAATTTAACACAGTAAATCCGCTTTGAAAATTGGCTTTACAATACAAGCGATATATCTATAGGGTTTTTCCCATTTTTTAACTGTAAAAACTTCCTTGATTCCTCGTGCAATTTCCCTAGCATTAAAACTGCAAATTGGCAAGAATATGGCAACTTTGCAGGTAAAGGTGATTTTTAACATCGATTGCCCAGTGGGGCACGAGTTTTCATGCGCTTTCAGGTACCGAAAGAACCAAACAGAACTATTGTTGCCCTAAACAGTGCCCTAAGTGAACTCGAATTTGCCCAATTGACTTGATAGGGATCTGCCAAAGAGAATTTGCGAAAGTTCTTTGGCCCATTGTGTCGTGCTCGCTTTGAGCTGTGCCGATGCTAAGTACCTTTCCTTGTAGCCTTCCAAATATCGATTTTCGCCCTTTGGGTGCAAGTGATTGTTGTGACAGAGCAGCAAAGTACCGTTTGTTATCTTCATTTCGACGGACAGTCACACGATAATTCGGTAGTTCCAGCACAAATTTATGGTGTGAAAAATGGCAAATTTACATCGTAATTTGAATGTGGCCGCTGCCAAAGTTCTAATTGAATTATGAAGTCGGAAGTGTGTGGTCTTTTGGACCCTTTTCAGTGCTGTTAGCACGCGTTTATGGCTGCCGGCTTTTGTGTTTGTCTTCGGTTTTAACACGGTTTTTAATTGAGACGCCAACATTTACAACTGATTCAAGTTTTTCAATGCTACAACTGTTTACAAAAAAAATAAGTAAACATTATATAATGTCAAGATAGATCCAAGTGATTCTGTTAAGAGACTAAATGTGTATGCATTAATCTTGGTGGTTTATTAAAAGCGCTGATGGAACTTTAATTGCATTGTAAAAACCGCTTATTAACTATATCAGCGTAATGAAGGAAAGTTGAAATAAGTTGCGGAATACGGCTCATTACCAATTAATCTAGATTAGTTTCTGGTTTTTGGAGTCGTCGGATCGCAGCCCCGGCATGTGAATAAATCGAGCTGGTACTGGCAGTACCTCACCCTGAAGGATGTTTCAGTTTACCAAGTAGTAGTAGTAGTAGGACATAAAAATTCCCATAAAAAATGTTTTATACTGGTAGCACCCGACATGGTACCGGGCAATCGATCAGCACGAACCATACCGTACACGGATTTATAAACGGGCATTAATAAAGTCGTACGTCGGTACCACCACGGCGAACCGCTCGCACCAAATAGCCTTAACACGTTACAAATTTGTATTTTATTCATGAGTCTTTCCCACAGGTATTTGATACCCGTCGTTAAACAGCATGGTACCATTTTGGAAATCTGGCCATTCTGTCGGAAATTTATATGCATTTTTCTTTGGCTGCCTTATCGATGCTTCTGGTAGAATGGAAAATCGGCAACAGAGAGCGACGTTAAGGCGAAATAATTCCGAGATTTTTTTACAGCCACATAATGTTAATTTAGCAATAAAATTTAGTGGATGATTAAAGCGAAAAATTTCTCTAAGTAGGCAAGGTAATTGGCGCCAGGCACACAGAGAGAAGCGCATAGATTGATTTTTCAGAATCGACAGATTTTACGCCTTTGCAACGTAAAATTAAAGACAGGATTTGACGTGGAAGTTGTGCCGAGACCTTCGGGCACGAGACTGAAAGAGAACGAAATACTGAAAATTAAGCACGACGAAGGCTTTGGCACAACTTCTAGAGCAACTGGTGCCTAGAAGGTGAAATTATTGCAAAGTGACGCCAGAAAATTGTGGAGTTTCCAGCTGTATCGAGCCCTAAGGGCAACCCACTGGAAGAAAACGAAATACTGAAAATTAAGCACACAAAAGTATCGCATAAACAAAAGAATGCGTTCAGTCAGTGCAATGCCCGAAGGTCAGTGCAATGCCCCGGCTAGGAATAACTTGAAAATAAACAAAATTTTCTGGCATTACTTTGCAATTCAAAACTAGACACTGGTCGATGTAAAAGTTGCGCCAAACCTTACGGATACGACACTGATTGATCGCAAGAACACTCTTCTGTGTGCTTGATTTTCAGTATTTCGTTATATTGTCGTGTCGTGCCCGAAGTGCTCGGCACAACTTCAAAATCAGCAAATTTCTGGGTTTTCTTTACAAAATGAAAACACTTTTGCCTGTTTCATTTGCAATCGGTTGTCCCCAACTAGTGTTTTGTCCGAAGGGCTCGAGACATCTTCTACATCAACTACTAGCTACAGTTTAATATCGCAAAGTAAAGCAAGACGTTTGTCGATTTTGAAGTTGCGCCGATCTGTTCAGGCACGACACTGATCGGGCACAGATGACTCCGAATAAATCGGACAAATGTGTCTTTTTGTACCCTTGTCAGTGCAGTGCCCTTTCAACTTCAATCTCTAGTTCACTAAAAGCTGTTGAAAATCGAAAAATTATAAATCGAGCAAATAAAATCGTCTTGCGGCCCAACTTGCAAATCCGCCCTCGTCAACACAACTTCAACTTGATGCTTACACACCGGCCATAATGCCTCACCTTCCAACGTAAACGAAAACAATAATTTCAAGGCGCCGCTATGTTGGTGCACATCACGTAGTTTCAGTGTACGATTCTTTAACTAAAACAACACGCGCCGAAACTGATCCCTTGACAATCACTTAATAATCCCCCCAACGTCATGTGGCGATTTATGTTCTGAAGTCAACAACATATACAATGATTTGCCTAATTATTGTCTGTGCTCTGGATGCGATGTGAAAATGGCCTAAAATTTCCGAAAATGGCAGCGGAAATTCTTGAAAAACCCCACATTGACTATGCCCTGGTGGCAGGTCGTAGAAACTGTAAGTAGCTGATCGCTGATTTGTCCTCCAATTTTCCCCGATGCATCCAACCTGTTCCAGTACCCTTTTTTGGAGTGAGGCACTTGCAAGTGCTCCTGCTCTTCTTCATGGTGTTCATTGCCTTGGGCTCCAATGTTTGTCTATCGGTAGCTATTGTAGCTATGACTGATTCCCTTGCCAGTAGCAACCCGAATGTGCCAGTAAGTACCAGCTGCTGGAACGTAGCGTCACCTTCTCATAGACCTACAATTTAGAAGACCAAGGCACCATTCTCTCGGCCTTTTTCTGGGGCTACATCTGGCCTCAGATTCTGGCCGGGTACGTGGCCAATCGCTTTGGGGCCAAACGGTGCCTGGTTGGTGCCATGTCCTTGCAGTCGGCGCTCACATTATTCCTGCCAGTCACCGCGGCTAATTTCGGTTCTTCCGGCCTGTACGCCAGCAGGTTCTTGCAAGGGTTTTGCCAAGGATTCCTCTTCCCTTCGCTGACTCACCAGCTGGGCCAGTGGGCCCCTCTCGAGGAAAGAAGCCGCATGGGGGCCTTTGCATTTGGGGGCAAGTAGGAGACCACTTAAACGATCACTGGGTTAATTGATAGTCTTCCAGCCGGCCCTTTGGGCACTGTGGTCGCAATGTTGGCTACCGGCATCATCTCGGCAAGCTGGCAGGGCTGGCCCTTGGTGTTCTACGCCTATGGAACCTTGGGAGTAATCTGGAGTTTGATGTTTGGCATATTAGGCTCCAACCGCCCAGCAGCCCATCCAAGGATCAGTGAAGCTGAGCGGACGTTTATTGAAACCAGTCTGGGACATGTGGGAGGCAAAGTGGTAAGAGTTTCTTTAAAGATATGGTTGTTTCTAGCAAGGGTTTCCAGTCCCACAGGGTTCCATGGATGGCAATTTTTAGATCGGGGCCCGTTTGGGCTCTGCTGGTAGCTCAGAGCGGATACATTTACTGCTCCTGGACGCTGCTGAGCCAGATCCCCAGCTACATCAACCATGTGATGCACTTTAATATAAAAAATGTGAGTTTTTTTATAAAGTGGTAAATAATTTGATGGGAACGGGGTTACAGAACGGCCTTCTGTGCGCTCTTCCTTATCTAACGCTCTGGGTGTGGAGCTTCGTCTTCAGCTACGCCTCGGACAGTCTCATCAATCAGCACGTGGTGAAAGTAGGGACGGCCAGGAAGATTTTCAACTCCATCGGCAAGTATGCCTCAAAGACGACTCCACTTTATTCGGCTCAAATGCCTGTTCTTCTAGGGCTCCTCACTTCAGGACTGGCATTGATCGCCCTCGGTCTCACAAAAGCCGATCAGGTGGCTCAAGCAGTCGCTCTTTTGGTGCTGGCAGTGGGTTCGCATGCTGCCTGCATGTCCGGATGGTCGGTTAACCACATCGACCTTTCTCCGAATTTCGCCGGAACCATCATGGGCCTTACCAACGGGTTTGCCCATATCTCTGCCATTATTGCGCCGCTGATAGTGCAGTTTTGCGTTTTCGATCAGGTACAGATTTTTCTCAACATCATCGGCGGAAGGTGGAGCTTTTTTTCTGCAGACTGATCCAGAGCAGTGGAGGATGATCTTCTTCATAGCTGCAGCAGTCGCTGCAGTCGCTGCGGCCGTTTTCGTGCTCTTCGGGTCGGGCGACACTCAAGACTGGAACCAGCACAGAACCGAAAAAATCCCAATGAAGAAAAATGAATTGATTTGATAACAGCAAACCCTCTTAAATCCTTGCTCATTTAACCAGGTCTATAAAGTGGTAATAAAGTGATGGAAATTATGGTCTGATCGTTTCATTCGAGTGTTTTACCGGTCTTTAATTTCGCTTTTATGTTTTATCGGCCCGGACTGGTGCCCGTGATGCGTTTTTTAACACATTTCTCTAATTTTGTGGCGTTCAAAGCCAGAGATACGGCCACCGTCAGGAGCCAACATAATTAGTTCAATGATAACAACAAAAAGGGCCACTCAATGTGACTTTCAACAATCGGATAGGGTTGTTTATGGGTGCTGCCATGTTTCCTAAGTGTTCACATCCACTATTTGCTATTATTGTGACACATTTTCAGCAACATACAATGTGCGTAATGTAAACTCGGTTTTAATCCGTATATTTCACTTTAATTTCCTAAGTCCTAAATAAATAAGACATTTCTATTTAGCACGATGCGGTTTGATTGCATATTTGGACTTGGCGTGTTTGGCATGACAAAAGTTTAGAATTTTCTGATTAGCTATAACCCGATTTTTGACGAAGTGTCATTCATTTGACATCTACATGCTTTGACACTTTGATTTATTGTCAGCCATTTTGACATAGGTATTGGAAAACGGTCCAGGACTTGAAGCAATTTCCTTTGAAATTTAAACAAAGTACAGACAGACAAAAGGGATCGTCATTAGTAAACCCAAATCGAGACATTGCGAGCAATTAGACAGCGCGTGCGTTTTCTAGTTCCGATTTCTTTGACATATTACATTTTAAATAACATTTAATTGACATATACAGACTTTGACACGTCGATCTACTGTCAGTCACTTTGACGTGGATATTATCTATAACTGACAAACATTTCAATCAATTTCCTTCCGAATCTAAATAATGAAAGAATTGTGAAAATACAAGCTGATTAAAAATTGGCGTCATGCCTTTTAATGGGTAATAGGGGCTCATTTGGAGAGTACGAGAAAAATATTGAAATACGTTTTTCGATAATTTCGAGAATATATTAACAGTTGAAAATCGAATTTCAACTTCGTTTTTAAGCATTATTTTGAAATTGTTCCATGTTTGATCGGTAGCATATTCAAATGGTGACGCATTCAAAAAGATTACGATCTTTGCTTAAAATCACGAATATTTTTGATATTAAAAAGGTTCTCTTCTACAAATTTGTAATGAAAAGTCAAAGCGACTATGACGTTTTTTATCATCGCAGATAGTTACAGGAGAATAGCCCTTGTCAATAATAACAATAACTTGTCAAACTGTGACTTACTTTGAATTTCCTTTCACGAATTTGCGGATACGCGATTAGTTCAGGGGAAATGATACAGTAACATAGCACAAGCTGACTCACGCCAACAAAGGTCGAGGAGAGTGGTTCCAGGATAGTGGACAACAGTAGATGTTCGGGTTCCAGACACAGAAGAACAAATATTTGACATAATTGCAGCAGAGCCTTCCAGGGGCACTCAGAGCATTGCACAACTACTGACGCTTTCCGAGGCACCAAACAAATGCCGAGACAGGGCAACAATCCTACCTACAAATAAACAGAGCATAAGGACACATTAAACCAATCGCTTAGTGAACACCGCTACAAATTCAGCAGGAGTTAATTAATCAAATACGACAAACTGCTCGAGAAGAGGGGAAACTAAGGTGATTTTGTTGCTCTCCATTTTGTTAATTGAATCTAACCTTCATAAAAAGTGCATAGAAGCTGACTGTCAAGCTGACAACTGGTTTGAAGAACAGAACACTCACAGGCACTAACTTGTTTGAAGTTAAAGACTCAAATAAATGTATGTTTATTTGTAATTTGTAAACAAATTAATAATTCAAGGTTATGAGGACAATAATTGACGTTTCGAAAAAAATATATTTTTGATGTACATTTTGTGAAGTTCGCAAACTCGGCAATGGCTCCTTAAACAACTGCCCGAAACAATTGCCCCGACAATGTTTGTCCACTAATTATCCTTCCTTGATTTTCCTTGCAAAAGTGGTTCAAAGAGAAGATTTCCTTAGAGGGATGTCTTGACTGCTCTAACCGCCATTAAACTAGAGAAAGTTTAATGGCATTTTGGAAAATTTGATGAGATTGGCAAAGCGACCTCGATGTAGCCCCCAGGATCTTCTGGTCGCAGAACGCAATAGTCAAGATTGCTAATCCAGGTAAGAATCAGTTACTTACTAATCAAATTTAATTGTTGAAGTTGTGCATACTTGTTTAACAGGTTGCCAACAGCCACGGTCAATTGATAAGACTTAAGCAAACTCTCGTTGCGATAAGATTTCGTAGCGAAAGTCATCGTGATTGTTTCCCCATCTAGAAATATTGAATGGAAATTTCTAACAGTTCATTCTGGAGCTCGAGCCAACATGGGGACGAGCGTGGAACGGAAAGACGTCAACTACTCGCCAGTCAAAGGCCAGAGGGATGTTAAACGTAAGTTACCAGATCAGTGACTACGAAAAGAAACTTGCACTTTCAGCCTTGCAGTGCCCTTGATTGGCGTGAGGCACTGGCAGGTGCTACTGCTCTTCATCCTGGTATGCACAGCCTTCGGCTTCCGAGTCATCCTTTCAGTAGCCATAATCGCCATGACGGATCCTACGGCAAGCTCAAATCCAGACGTGCCAGTAAGTATCAGTTTGAGATCCGAAAAGAGTTTAGTCAGAGCAAAATCCTCCCAAGACCTACGACTGGAAAGACAAGGGCACAATCCTGTCCTCCTTCTTCTGGGGCTACCTATGGACGCAAGCCTTTGCCGGCTACGCAGCCAAACGCTTCGGTGCCAAATGGTTCCTGATTGGCGCAATTTTCGTGCAAAGCATGCTCTCACTGCTCACCCCACTCACTGCAGCACTCTTGGGCTCCTACGGAATGTGCGTGAGTAGGGCGCTGCAGGGCACCTGCCAGGGCTTTGTTTTCCCATCGGTCACTCACCAGCTCACTCAATGGGTCCCTCCCAATGAGCGGAGTCGTTTAGGCTCGGTCATCTTTGGATGTGAGTAGCTTCAGCTTAAAAACTGCAAACGTTTACCACCGCATGTCTTAGCCGCCCCCCTGGGGACAGTGGTGGCGATGTTGGTGACTGGAGTTATCTCGGCCGGATGGTACGGTTGGCCTTTGGTATTCTACCTCTATGGAGTGGTGGGGTTGGGGTGGTGCGTTCTATTTGCCTTTCTGGGGGCCAACAGCCCAGCTAGCCACTCCTCCATTAGCAAAGAGGAGAAATATTACATTGAGCAGAGTTTGGGGCATATAGATGATAAGCCGGTAGGTTCTCAACGAATGTTAGCAAATTCGTTGCCTCTTTAGAGCTTGTGTTGGCTTTTAGACAAACAAAGTGCCCTGGAAGAAAATATTCACCTCCGTTCCTCTATGGGCAGTGTTCTTGGCCCAAACTGGCAACAACTACGCCTTCTGGACCTTGCTCACGCAAATCCCCAGCTACATGAACCATGTGATGCACTTCGATATAAAAAATGTACGTCTCCCTACAATCCATGCCGATTAATCCTCAAAATTTCACCCCGCTATAGAACAGCCTGTTGTCATCGCTCCCGTACTTGACTGGATGGGCCGTCAGCTTTCCCTATGGCTACATATCCGACACCATCATCAACAAGAACTGGGTGAGCGTCAGCACATCGCGAAAAATCTTCAACTCTTTCGGTACGTGGTGGTTTCCCCTTTACACAGCCTTTGGACTGAGACCCCTGGGTCTTGTGCAGGTATGCTGGTGCCAGCTTTGGCTCTAATAGTCCTGGGATATACCAGGGAAGATCAAACAACGCAAGCAGTGATTCTTCTGGTGGTGGCCGTGGCTTCAAATGGAGCCACCTTGGCTGGCTGGGCTTTGAACCACATGGATCTGGCACCCAACTATGCTGGCACCCTAATGGGGCTCACCAATGGTGCGTCGCATATTTCCGCCATTTCCGCGCCTCTGATTGTCCAGATGGTTGTCACAGACGAGGTGAGTTGAATCCATCAAAGCATTGAACCCCTTTCCACCCAATGGTGTTCCAGAGTGATCCCCACCAATGGAAGCTGATCTTCTGGTTGACTGCCGGTATTCTAACGGCGGTTGCCGTGGTGTTTAATATATTCGGGACTGCAGAGAAGCAAGATTGGAACGAGGCTGCGAGTGAGGAGAATGGTAAGTCTTTATCCGGCTGTGTTCTGGATCTTCAATGAACAAACTTTGCAGAAAAGTGCTGATGGAATCCACCAGTTATCGAGTACCTACAGCTCCAACTGTCTTTGATTATTTACTAGTAAATGAAAAGACCTAAGCCTTGAAAATTACGTGTTTTTTTCGCTTCCTTTCAGTCCGAATACCACTATTATAAAATCCATCAATCCCAATGACAAAAACGGGCCTTTAGTCACAAATCCGACAGTCAGTCCCTTTGACTATGACACTATCGCTCAAAACCCTATCTGATGCATGGAAAGTATGAATGAAAAAGCCTGCACTGAAAGCATTTCTTACGCTTCTCTAGATTCTTCACGATATTTAAGCGAAAAAATTACGGCTTATTGAAAAGGGTTGAAAGGGGGAGGTTGACCATTTTATTTGCATGAACTATCAAAGGGTGCCGCTCTCGCCCGGTACCTGATGGAATTTCAAGAGATGTTCAGAGTCAAGTGTGCGAACAAATATTGGCTTGGCTACTCTTGAAAGGGTGCGGTTTAAATACCATTTTCACCGCCAACTAGATAATTCGCAGTTAGAAAGTGAAAGAAAACAGTTGCTTCGCAAAAGTGACGTACTGAGTTGGATGGATTTATTGTCGCCATTGTTTAATTTGTTTGCCCAATTACAATGCGCGAATCTGATTATTTATTATTTGTTTAAGTTGAAAGTAAGAAAATAGTGGGCCAAATCAGTCGCCTGCAATGTTGCCCAGTTTACCAATTAAATTCAACTCTAAATTTGCCACTAAATCAACTGAGAACATTTAAATGTCTTAATGTTTCTTTACATAAGATTAATGATAGAACTGCTTTTAATAAACTCATTTCACAACATCAGCTTTTATTGTAGACCGGAATATTTCAATGCTATTTATTGGAGAAAGAGAATATTCAAGTTTTAGATCTACATATTTATAAGGTACAACTTGGCGTTTTGGGCTTTGGATGCCAAAAGCTTCAACTTTAACAGAGCACATATTACGTTGAGCCGAAACTTGGAGACAGTTTTCTCAATTGCCATTGATAATGGAATAATCCGGAAACTGGAAAACTTCAAATTCCCATCGTCAATATTTTCAGAATATTGGCAAAAAACGACAAACTTTTAACACTTTTGGCTAAGGCATCCTGGCGCCAATGGACGTGTATACTACACGTCCAGTTTCCGAATTTCCCATTCGTAATGAATCACCCTGTATAGATTGGCGCAAAGTGACTGGGAAAAACCTCAACTGATATTTAATTAACCAGAGACAATAGAAGAATCCAATCCGGTATTTGCCCGAAGATTAAACAGGAATTCTATATTATCAAACTGGTCTAGTGGCGCCAAGTTAGGTACTTAAAATGGCCGTTGAAAATCCTGAAGAGCTCTATAGACTAGCACAGGAGGAATCAAGGAGTTTTGAGCAAAAATGTGCAGAGCCAGGTAAGTTTTTTACACATTGCCAGACTTTCGATAATAACAAGGTTCAAATTCAGCGCCCAAAATTGGCATCCGCCATCTGCAGGTCTTCCTCTACTTCCTGGTGTGTTTCATCGCGTTTGGGTTCAGAGTGGTTCTTTCCGTGGCCATTGTTGCAATGACTGACCCAAAAACCAACCCGAATCCGGGTATACCGGTAGGTAGTCTCCAACCTTCAAGGGATTAGTTGCACAAACTCAGTGTTCCAGACATATCCAGAGTGGAGGGACCAAAACGTGATTCTTTCAGCGTTTTTCTGGGGGTACATAATTCCGCAGGTCTTTGCAGGATGGGCCGCCAGGCGCTTCGGAGCCAAGTGGTTCCTTATCGGCACCTTCGCGGTTAACTCCCTATTAGGTACTGAAACCACTCTTTTAAACTGGAAGCTCATTCAGGTTTTGCAGGGCTTTCAATTCCAATGACCGCAGCTCACTTCGGCTCCAAAGGCGTGATGTTGAGCAGAGCCGGCCAAGGCCTCTGCCAAGGCTTCATCTACCCATCCTTGACCCATTTGCTCAGCCAATGGGTGCCGACCCAAGAACGCTCTTCATTGGGCACCATCGTCTATGCGGGTATTATTCCCTTGAACGCAACTGGGTGCATTTTAGTTTGAAATATTTCCAGCTGGACCTTGCGGCACAATTCTGGCAATGTTCATCACGGGGTTAATCGCGGCCAGCCCTTACGGCTGGCCAATGGCCTTCTATTTCTATGGTGTGCTAGGCATCGCATGGTGCATTGTAATGGGAATTTTGGGACACGACCGTCCAAAGGTCCATCCTTCGATCAGCCAAACGGAAAAATGGTATATTGAGAGCAGTTTGGGGCATACCAATGAGAGAACGGTGAGTGTTGAGCAAAGCAAAGCCAAAACCTGCATGGCCTGTGTTTTGGTCTTGCTCATTTTGCGAGATGAAGACCTCTGACTGAGTGCTGATTTTTTAAGCAACATCCTACGCCGTGGAAAGCCATCCTGAGCTCCGGACCCGTGTGGGCGCTCTTTATAACGCAAACTGGGAACAACTACTGCTTTTGGACGTTATTGACGCAAATCCCCTCCTACATGCACTATGTCATGGACTTCAACATCAAAGATGTAAGCACGTTTTTTTTGTTCCTCCTTCGGTTGCTTCATCGGCTTTCCTGATTAGAACAGCATTTTGTCTTCCCTCCCCTATTTAACCGTGTGGGTGCTCAGTTTTGCGGTTGGTTTCACATCTGATTGGATCATCAACAAAGGAATCCTCACCAGGACGGTTTCCCGAAAGGTTTTCAACTCTTTAGGTGGCGCTAATGAGTGGTGACGAATCTCCGCTCTGTACTCAAACTGTTTAATTTTAGGACTGTTTCTTCCCGCTCTATCTTTGGTGGTTCTGAGCTACACCCGACCGGATCAGCCCATCCGAGCTGTGGCTCTTCTAGTGGCCGCGGTCGGATCGAACGCTTTCCACTTTTCTGGCTTCAGCGTCAACCATATGGATCTTTCGCCCAACCATGCTGGGGTTGTAATGGGACTGGTCAATGGCTGCTCGCAAATTACTGGGGTCGTTGCCCCATTGGTTGTGCAGTTTGTTGTCACAACCCCGGTAATATCTAACATCTGAAGAAGTCCTGGAGATTTTTCTTATTTTTTTTTTCTGCTTGCAGACTGATCCTTTGCAATGGCGAGTGGTGTTCCTGATCGCGGCCGCTTTCAACGTGATCACTGCCACAGTTTTCGATGTCTTCGGCTCGGCCAAAGTGCAGCCTTGGAACGCGCCTGAAGAACCCCAAGAAATTGAAAAGCGAGACGTTGTTGGCAAATAAATCGCGTGAGTGTTTAATAGTTTTTCACTCAGCCCCCGTCTGAACGTAATCGTGAGAACGAAACGTGATATTTCCTATTAGTTAGTTTATGCCCAAATATTTACCCATCAATTAAGCACAAGACCTTTCCTAAAACGCTCTACTTACGCCGGGGCAAACACGGCACCCATTTGGCATTGCCAGCTAGGGAATTTGAATTTTTTCTCGGCAGGTACGCGCCCTTAAGGCGCCCAGCTACTTGACCAGAAGATCCTTTCTAATTGAATTCAAAAGCATCGACAAACATGCATAATACGGCAAATAAGGGTGCGGCCGGCCATCAAAAGGGTGAGTGAACGGTTCCTCTGGGGTATTTTGCGCAAGGGTTGCATACGTAATTCGGAAATGTTCACGGTCTAGATGGTTCACACAATGGGTTTTGGCACATGGGTACTCTTGACTGTTTGATCAAACGGAAAATTCGAGTGGCCGATAGCCTTTTGCGATCGAGTATTCAAATGTTTTTCGGTTGGAAGCAAAGTGATGTGAAATCCGGAACTATCTTTGGCCTACTAAACGTTTTTCCTAAGAAAACATCTGCCGTAAATGTTGGTGTAATTAAAGTATTGCGTTTTCTTGCATCACCTGTTCCTCATGGCGAGGGCACGCGTCTTTTATGCGTTTTACAGGGTTGAAGTGGGTGTTTTTTCGGACAAAAAGACGCAGTTTTGGCATATGGCACATGCCGTTTGTTGACCCAGATTCTTCAACAGGGGCAGCAGCCGTGTAAAATTCAAACGCTGCTGATCAACCACAGCATATCGAAACCGTAAATTCTTCACTATAATAGATCGGAACCAGAACACGCGGTGTTCCAATTTTCGGCCGATAATTTAACTGGCTGAGAACCGAACGGTTCTCGCCCAGGAAACAGTAGGGGAACAACCACCCATCGACATATTTTGAGCTTTTTTCCTTAGACTTCTCGGGGGAATAAAGGGCGCTGTATACTTAGCGGCCCAGTTTGATGTTGAATATGGGCCTTTTAATCAGTTTTAGCATTATGGGGGTTCCACGTTTCTTTTCCTCTCTTTGACTGCTTTATTACGAATCGAATCTCATTTGACAGGGAAATTGGGTCTCGTTATAATCCTTTGATGGGATCGCGCAATTCACTAATTATTTGTGCTGCCGCACAATAAGCCCATTAAAACGTCGATCTGCCTTTCAGCCGCGAAAACATAAATATTTGCTGCTGCAGATTCGCGTTTTTGCCAACCACGAAACAAGAAGTAGACAACCGAAATTAACCCGTTTACTTCACACCTTGACTTCAAGAAAGCCGATACTGCTAATTATTTTTTTTAATAGTGCGTCGCTAATTTGTGGCTTTCGTACCCGAATCCATAACGTACAACGTAACTAATAACGCTTAATGAATACGTGCACGTATTTTGAGGGCCAAAGCTGGCTTTGGGTACGTTAGTGAGCGTCAGCGGTACTCAAAACTACTTGGCACTGCGACGGTTAAACGCGTTCGAAATACCGTCTTTTGCCAGTTTGGTCTAATCAAGAAATTCGAACTTTGACAAAGTTACAAGCGGAAACATTTAAAACCATGCAAGACTGTGACTCTTGAGCCTTTTGCTACACAAGTTGCTGCTGGGGTACTGTTTGGTACTGCTGGTGCTTCCTCGGTGCATTGATTTACAACCCCAGCAGCTTTTTTGCTGCTTCTAGAGGCGTGTTATTAAGTCCGGACCGATATTTTAATATTTCATCCTGCCGGGCAAAGAGTGTCAGGAGGTGTTGACGTGCGAACCACACTCTGTTATTAGAACAACTTTTTTGCTTTTTTGGGCCGATTTGTCTAATTTTTCTGCTAGTTTATCGACATCATTCTAATGTCCCACAGGCTTGTAAATGGTGGTCCAATTAAGACGATATGTTTTTGAAAGAAAATAAAATGCCAAATATTGCAAATAATTGCAAAAATGTTTTTGAGAGTTTTCCCCTATAATTCGTCGTGGCCTTGTTTTGCTCATCACTACCAAAGATTAACTTCTTCTGAATGCAAAAGCAACTCTTGCCGCATGAATGTCTTGTGGATTATTTTCTATTATTAACTAACAACGACAATTTTGCTTATCTCCAAAAACATTTAAGGAAAATGTGCTTCGTCCTAAAAGACGATTTTTTCGAAATTTATTATCAATTTCAGGTCCAATCTGCAAACAATCGCCGGTTTTGATGGTCAAGTGGCTTTAGGTCTTGAGTCAACAATCCAATCAGCGAAAAAATGTGGTCTGTGAATTGGTTACTCATGTAAACGTTGTGGAATCGACAAATTTGCAACTTCAGCTCCAGTGGCTTCTACAGCATCAACATTTCCTTCATTTCTTGCAGCAGGCCGGAGTATTGGTGGCCTAGTTTCGCTCAAATTTGTCAAGAATTCGTCGATTGTTTTGTTATTAACTATTGGAAAACAGGAACCAGTTGTTTTCTGCAAAAATGCCTAAAATTTCGATCCAAACTGTTAGCTCTCGATAACAATACCAATAAATCATCCAGTATTGAATGATGATCTCAGCACCCCATCGAAAGAGTTACATCTGCGCAAGGTGGGCCGAAGAGCACAATTGCGGATTTCGAGAAAATTCGGCACATGCCATCCTGTAGATAAAGGGCCTTTTTCAGGTAAATTGCGCAATATTTAATCGAAACCAACTAGAAGCTGCCCTAAGTGATTGTCCGACACGGACAATCACTTCTACTGTATTGAGAGTAAATACGACTTTTTGGGCTGCAAACGCAAACATCCACCCACACTTTCGTGTAAACAGTTGAGCAGATGGCTGTTTTTTACTGGTTTTCTAAACTAGTATGCGATTGAACTGCCTTTGCTCCTCTTATTGGAAAACCTGTGCACAGTTTGAGAATCTTCAACTCTCGTTGAACGTCTCTAGTTGAGGGTCAATTTCAACAGTTGCCAGCTGTATGGAAATTCAATATTTTCAATCAAAATACAGATGGGGCCCCTCGATCAGGTAAAAGGGTTACGAATTGGAGCAGATGCATCAAATCGGAACCATTCGACGTTATTTGCCAGTCCAACAGGAAATGATCAGTGACGGTTGTTTTCGATAAAGTTCGGCAAAACGCAGCTTGGACTGTCCTCACCCCAGATCCATCCCCATGTGATTTACGGACCTGTAATCGGTTCGGGGATCGGGCGAGGCGAGCAGGGCGGCGAATTTGTGATTTAGCGAACGAACACGTGATTATCTGCACCAACGCCTCCAACGCCTGCAGCGCCGCCAATTGTTTAAAACAAACATCACTGTTGGTACTCGTTATTTTAATATCTCGTTCTGGTTCCGAACTACTGCCGCCGGCCCCCGTTCGCATAATGCACGATTTATCTGCCCTTTCATTTATATTATATTAAGCGTTTGATTCTGATATGATTTTTTCGCCGCGCTACACTCAGAGAAATTCTACAAAACCATTTTACTTTTCATGGTTTTCCCATTGGGTATTTAGCCTGAAATTTTTAGTGGTTTGGTAATGCTCTTGTCTTCTTATAAAGAACGAATTTTTCATCCAGAAGCACATCTTGAAGTTGAACAGCACGGACTCTGTTTAATTTTTTCACGACTCCAAATTATTTTTTTTAAGTGTAGGCTGAGTCCAGGAGCAAAAGAGCGGATTAGTTTCACTGATTAATCGGCGAAGAAGCAAAAATTAATACGCGCTCTCGTGATGAAGAAATAAGAGCGTCTTTTTGCTCGCATTGGGCCAATATTGGTTTTCGTGCGCTTTTAAAGATTGCGATCGCCTGTTTACTTTTCGAAATTTATTGCTGCTGCTTGCTTCTTCAAATTGTGCCAAAGCCAAAAAATTCGGCAAATTGCCCCATTTATTCAACTTCCTGTCCACGCCTATTTCACACCATCAGTGACACGGCCTGGTGTGAACAGATCACCTCAATCATAGAGCGCCCATGTAATCTTTCGCCTACTAGGCAGATGATTTACACCTCATTGAGGACTTTTGCGGCTCTTTAGCACGTCTAGTGGTCAAATTCGCGTTAGGCCGTCTAGTTGGGAGCAGACTGTCTTATTAGGGAGTCGTAAAACTAATTTTTGTGCGAATCTTTGGGGTTCAAAGCGCGCGGCCCCAACAAGGTCCAAATTATGGGTTAGAAGGCTCGTTAACTGGGCGCCTTGTCTAGTTAGGCTGCTGATTTATTGGCTTGCCCCAGAACAAGAACCACCACTCTTGGTCCAAAGTGTGCAATTTGAGCCTACAAAGCTCAATTTCGCTTTGAACTCATAGTCCTGAAAGAAGATCTCCGTTTTCACCTAGTAGTGAAGTCTAGATTGGATGAGTTTGATCAATTCTTAGAGCGACCAGTGCCAATTGAGATCGATGTATCAGATAATGTAAAATGCTCAGCACAAGACCGGTTCTGTGCTGTCTAGTCAATATCGAAAATGACGGTTCTTGCACATTTATTATCGTCGATCCAGCGACCGATATCCGTTCATATTTCATACAGCAGGTCCGAAAAACAACCACCTTAATACTATACAATTAGGTATTAGAAACCATTTGCATAATTTTAGAGCAGAGCCACAGAAATTAAAAACTCAATGTTTCTCATAATGGCCATACATTACTGGGGCCGTTTTGCGAAAATGGTGCGCGTGTTGCCGACACGCGAATTATATGTGTTTTTTTGCCATTATTTGGGGTAAATGAACGAACTTTGGCTGCATTCGGGAGGTGGACTTGATGGATCTCGGCCACTATTCACTCGTCTAACATTTGAACAAACCTTCGAATCTTGGTGGGCCGAGCATTAAACAATCCTTTCAACAGTGTGTTTGGTCGGGAACCTTCCGAAATGGAACACGGCGCCACTCGCCCACGTGGGGCGTCCGAACCGATAAAATTATATCAAAACATTGTTTTCGGCCCATTTGTTTCCCCAGTCTCAAACTGTGACTCTGACTAACCCCCGAACAGTTTCGGCAGTATTAAATGCAGTTTATTTAAGCGGACCTGATGTGGACTAATTAGTTTACTCGGTTGTTAATTATGGCTATGTTTGTCTAGTGGGGAATCGAACATCCATTAAACCTCTCTTAAGAGCGAAATGGAAGCCCTGCATGCGCTGCATAAACGCAAGGTGTCATGCCAATGAGGAATAAGGTAACGCGTATGAATAAAGCGAAAAATATAATAAATTGGGGGGCAGATGTTTTTCGCGCTACATATTGCCGCCAGTAGAAAGTGGCACTTTGGAGCGCACATTTTCAACTTCTTAGGATTTTTATTATCAGGCCAATGAAGTGAGCGTCGCCGTTCTGTCCTCAGGTTGAAAAACCGTTGAAAAATGTATCTGAAAGTGTGAATAACCCGGAAAACAGTAGTTTTTCATTATCAGCGTTCTTTGTAGCGAAAATCGGCCGGAACTTGCCTCGTTTGTCCACCCCAAAGTTAAAATATTCACACGATTTGAGATCTAAATTATAATCGGGCAATTACAGTTATTATGACAGAACGAAGAGGCAAGGTGTTGGTTTTCACATGAACCCTTCAACTGGGGGAGTTTTATGATAATTGATATTTCGATTAAACCTGTTTCCTGCATCACTGACTCGTCATATCCTCTAGCTGAAAGAGGGACTCGTCACAACACAAACTTTTCACTGGTTATAATGACAACAGTACACTTTTATAGATGGATTAAATGGCGCGATTAACTAGTTCTGTTTAAAGTAATTTTCCTAACCCCTAACTATTTGACTTTTTTACTTTTTAGGGGCGAAATAATACTAGTTTTGCACAGGGTGTCAGTGGAATTTGATACAATTTTGAGTTTATTGTCGAGAGTTTTCACTGTGTAGCGGCAACAGAACCTGTAGGTCGATTTTAGAACTTTTCAGTTTCAAGACGCCGTATAAATCAACATGCTTAATGCATATTTATAAAAGTTTTAGGCGAAAACTCAGACCTTAGCTAGAGGTATGGTTATCTAAGTTATTCGCTTATTTCAGGAATCAACTATTTCTGGCAGACAAAAAAAAATTATTACGATTATATAAAAGCAAGCAACCTGAACTCAATGTCTGCCATATCTCTGCCTCATCAGAGCATCAAGTACGCTGTTAATATTGTAATATGCTCACCTTACAGAAAATTCCTGCATCAACACCTTTTCTTTCTTGTATTTTATGTGAAAATGCAGTTTTGATGCAATCGTTGTCCAACTGTTGTCTCTGCGACACAGTTCGGAAAATTTTGCGCATTTGCCAAACCCACATTTAGTTAGTCCATACAAAATTCAGGAACATTTTTAGCTTTTCATAGGTTTTGTTAGTATTGCTTTATTTTTTTTATCAATGCTAAACAGTTAAGCTGTTGCCTCCTCTGCCAAAGTTTTTCGATTAACAATGTTTACAATCGCCATTATGCGACGCTCATAAAGACCCCGTTTACCGTTAGGTGCTCGAAGTTGATAAAATGTTGCAAAAAGGCTGTAAAATTAACACTGGCCGAATGCAAAGTGCGTTTTTTGTTTCAGCGCTCGTAACCGTCGTTGTTTTACGAGTGTCCAAGCCGTATGAAACTAATTAAGGAACATTCTAGAAGCGAAGCACCCCGAATTTCAAACCCGGTCAACGATCAGCGTCAGATTGAAATAATCAAAATTCAATTTGCCAGCCAATGAATAATCGCCACGCTAGCAGAGACCGATAAATCCAGTCGCCCACTACATGCGCTCTTATTTGTTGGGACCTTCGGGCTCTATTCTGGTAGTTTATTGGGATTTTTTCAATTGAGTGTTTCGATTTAAACTTATTAGCGTTATTTATCGATTTTCGATGAACCGCTCATTATTTATATCCCGATTTCACGCAACAAATGTTTATGGAACCGCCAACTTCCCTTAACCCATTTGATGGATCGAATTTGTCTGTTTCTGGGAAGACAATAATGTTACATAACGCTTCTACCTGCTTGCTTTATGTAACGCCCTGATCTATGGCCTTAACGACAAAATCGGAATTGCGGTATCTAATTTTTGCCTGCTTTTTAGGGACTAATCGACTGTGGTCCTACCGGGCAATTACACAAAAACAGGTGAATTTGGCAAGATTTCCTATACTTCAGAGCGTCTTGAACCGCCACCCTTATCGCCAGAGCCCACTTGTTAACAAAACGACATACCACAATCCCATCAGATGAGTATTGAATTTCCAACATTGTCCATCCGACTCTTTGCCTAATTGACAGAACCGGACCGTTTTGTTCTTAATAAAGGGCGATCGTTATCGAACGCTGAGAAATCGTGTCCGATGACGGAAAAGACAATCAAATTTGTTTTTCGTCAAAACGGCCTTATTATTCTCGGCCCACAGCCCGGTCAACGATAATGGATTTGTATTTGTAGGTGTCAAATTGCCTATTAAGATCGTCGATAAGTGTGTCAATTATTTTCGAAGAATCGACAGTTTCTACCGGGCACGATCTTGAATAGATCACAAAATGAGCGTTTTTCTTGCTCAA